CCTCCAGTAAATGAACTTGAGCATCATGAGAGCACAGAAACTGGAAACTGGCTGCTTCCAGTGAGACTGAGAATGCTGCTTGTGATCCTGTGAACTTTTTGGTTCACAACTCTAAAGCCATTCAGGGGCACTTGGAAACATCCTGTTAAAGGAAGGGAGTTTTAATTATTGCTCTTGTGCTCAGAAAAACATGCAATGAGTATTTAACTCACCTGGAATTCTTATTGATGTCTAAACGTGGATGTGATCCTCCTGGAGAAGGAACAGCCCTGGGTGGAGGTACAGCCCTGTACCCCACCCCTGAGGGGACTAACCAGCACAAATGGTGTCTGGACAGACAAAGAACATCTCCTTCCCCAGTGCTGTATCCTTCCTGAGGAGAGTCAAAACCAAAGTAAGACAGGAAAAGCAGGATGAAACTGGAACACAATCCCTCACTAGAGCATCCCCTGTTTTGGGAGGCAGAACAAGCCCCCAGAAGTGCTTTGCTGAGGTCCTGGTGTAGATTCTGCTCTATTTAAATGACTTTTTTTTGGGATGAACTTTACCGAACACACATGCAGCCTCCACAGCACCATGAATTTGGGGCTGACATTTAATGCCTCGGCACATTTCTTTCCTTGTCCCGTGCAAGGCAATCAAGTATGTCAGGTTAAGAGAAGAGAAAAAGAGGAAAAATAATTACACAGTAAATTAAACAAGGCTAACTCCCTCCCACTTATTATGGCTTCATAAGTTGCTACCTCTGGCTCAAGCTCTCTTGAATACGTACCAAGGGTAACACTAAAAATAGGTCCTGTACTGATGGTTGGGTCACAGCCTGCTAGAGGGAGACATTTTTATTTAATTACAAGCCCAGCAGCGTGTTGCTGGGGGGGAATACATAAACACGCCACTCGAAGCCCGGCTGTAAAGTTTGTGCTCCTTCGCTGAGTCACTGTGGCTAAATTCCCCTTTGTGTGGGGGATTTAGGGGAGGAATGCGGGAAGGCTGGCCCGGGCTGCCGCCCTCCTGAGTCACCGCTCAGCTCATCCTCCAGCCCCGGCAGGCTCAGGGCCCTAAGCCACTAATTAGCCTCATTGTCTTAGGGCTGCAGCATCCATAACCTAGCACAGGGAGGGGGGGGCAGAGGGACAAAGCTCCTGGAAACCCATGAGCTGTATCTCCTGGCAGTTGTGTTCTGTGCGTCACAGCCCACCTCTCAACACTCCCCGAGGGATCCTGATCCACTCCTTCCGTGGGATGGCATGGATTCCGTGATGCCTAAATGCGAGTGCAGCTGTAACCTGGAGCAGTTCTTCTGAGCAGGGAGGGTTCTGGGGTGTGGGGTGCAGCAGCCGGTGACACCATGGTCCTCGTCACTGCTGCCACGTGCTCGAGCGTGGCCGGGCAGCATCCCACATCCAGCAGGGCCGGGAGGCTGGCAGTGTTTCTGCAGTGTGACACGTGTCTGCTCAGCTCTGTCCGAACTACCAGGCTGTGCGGGTCTCCTTTCCCACAGCAGCAAGCAGCCCTGCGCAGCTCCCTCGGGCTGGCTACCGCCGAGCTCCAAAAATAACTTACCTTGGGACCAACTGCAAGGTGGATAACCCATATCCCACCACCCCGATCCAGTTGCGTCCTTGCGTGACTCTCAGGTTGCCCTTGTGCAGCACACACGGGCACAATGAGGGGTCTGTTCCCAGCCCCTCCGCTCCCGGGCTGCCACAACGCGCACGGCTCCGGTGTCCGCGCTCGGACAGAGCCTGGTGCTCATCACTGGGGTTCAGAGGAAGCTTAATGCACCGTGGCTGCACGCTGAGCAGCTTTCCTGGGGCTTCCGCCCTCCCCCTTGCAAACAGCTTTGTGTGTTTAGGCTTTTTTTTTAAATGAAGTCTAACACATTTAATCATCTTTTCATAAGCTGTCAGCTTGCCGCGCACCAAAGCAGAGCAGCGCGCTCTGCCCCGGCTCCCAGCAAAGCAAAAGTGCCTGGAGAATCCTGCTCCTGGGAGCGTGCACACACACAGCTCAGGAGCTGTGAACTTTTCTCGGGGTCTGGGGTGAGATCAAAAATCAGTTTTTGGAAGTTATTTTGAAACAGATCTTATTTTGTACAGCATCTTTACTCCAGTGTTTCATAATTCAGCTCTGCACCATCAGCACTGGAAAACTCAGTATACTAGAAAACTCCAAATACATCAAAAGCAAAACACAACTAGTCCTAGGAAAACATGGGAATGTGCCTGTCCCCCACCCTGAAGGTTCTCGGCAGGAGCAGGGAGAACAGGGGGCAGCTCAGTCCAGGGGCAGAGCTGGGGTGGGCACAGCTGAAGTCAGGGCCTAGCAAGCTGGGGAAGTCAGAGCCGTGTCCTTGCGTGCCTGTCTGGGGTGGAATGGGAGATTATGTGTCTAACAGCACTGGAGGAGTGTGTGTGATGGGAAAGGGCGTTTGCACAGAGTGGGAGAAGCTGTTGTTTTGGGCATGATGGAGAGGAGCTGCTCCTCTTCCCTTTCCATTCATACAGGGTGGGTGATGCTGGGGCACCTTCTGGCTGAAGTTGTCTCCCAGAATGTTTTTTGTGGACTAAGCATCCTGAACAAGGAATTTCCTTTTTTACTGTAATTGTGGAGACTGCTCAGTTTTACTCTCCTCTCCACACACTAGCTGCCTCTTGGAGAAGCATCCCAAGGCTGCCCTTGCCACTATCCCTCAAAATACGGGCTGCACATTGCCCAGTCCTTGTCTTCCCACAGACCTGGTGCTGCTGGCCAGGATATTTCCCCTGGAGAAGCAAACATTCGTGTCTCCCTGTCCAAGTAACTGATAGGTCTGAGGGATCTGAATAGATCCCAGATTTTCCTGGGAAGGATGTCCATGCTTCACCTGGTTCTCACACAGAAGGCCCTTCCTGAGGAACCACCGACTCAGGTTTAATGCTGGAGGTTAATAATAATCACACCAGGCAGCACATCATTGCACCGTATCTGGTTGAGAGATTTACAAGTGAAACTCGTGGCAGAGGAAGAAATTGCCTCAATCACTCGGAGTAATGGCACATGGAGAGGCACTTGGGCGTGACTGCTACTTAACACGGAGCCCAGCTTGGCTTCATTTAGCTGCTGGTGCCTTTCTAATAAACACGTTACACTACAAGGTGGGGATTAAGATCAGAAAAGTAAATAAATTGGAAACTGATGGGGAGAGATGGGAGGGAAATGGAAGGTACTGAGGAGGAGTGACGAGGGATTGACTCCCATGCCAGCACATGGGGAAATGACCCTGAAGGCCATGGCTGTAGCTTTCCAAGCATCTCTGTGGGCCTCACCTGTGGCCTGCAGGTGCTGGGCAGCCCCAGTGCCAGGGCATGTTGGGTGTCCCTGCTCAGGGTCACCAAGCTGGTCTTCAGCAAACGGCAGCTGTGGCAAGTTGGTGTCTTAAACAATTCAGTAGCTTTTACTATATGTATTAGAGAAGCAAGAAAAAGTGCAATGCACCAGTTGACAGGAAGGACTGGGGGTTAATTTTCAGGATGCTGCCTGGGAATTTAGCCGTGGGATTTCCATTATTGCTAATGGGACTCATGCAGCTTAATTTCATGTGAGCTATACTAAAAACATACCCGTAACTGCCTGCAAAATTTCAGTCCTGAAATCAAGCCTTTTAAAAGTTAGAGAAGGGTAAACAAACACCTGAAACCACAGTGTCTCACCATTTCCTCCTCTCAGCTGTTTGGATTTTAAAGTCTGGAAGAGGGAGGAACTCAAGCAGTTTGAGACAATTAAAAACCCCCATCCAGCAGGCACGCTGGCTGCCTGTGCGGCACATCCCTGCTCTCTGCCAATTACAGCAGCAGAGTTATAACCCCCGAAAAAATAGGAGTAAGCTGATGCCTTACCCTTAACTATAGTACGGCGAGCACGGCGTTATCACACGCGTCTAATAACCCGCGCAGCGCCGCCGTGCATCGTGAGGCCTCCGTTATTAGGCTGTTCTCGTTAAATGACTGCTATCATCTGGTCCCAAAGTACATTAAATCCCATTATAATTATAAACACACTTCCCCATAACGTTCTCCTTAGATTACATTTGCGCTGCTTTACCCCAAGGGTATCTTTGTACTAATGCCGTCCGTGTTTGTTGTTTTAGCTGAAGACACCGGCCCTGCGCTGGCTGTGTCGTGCCACGGGCGCAGCAGGGAGGGAGGGAGGAAGGCAGAGCCGTGCGGCTGCCACCCTGCCCCTCCCGAGGATTGCACAGGGTGCGCCGGGCGCGGGCACGCCAAGGAGCTGAGGCACTCCTCGGATGCTCGGGGCACGCAGTGCTCCCTCCGCGCGTGGCCCGCTGCTCCTGCCGCCGCCTGGCGCTGCTGTCGGTGTCACGGTGTGGCTGGCGTCTCACCGCGCGTTTCGCTCCCTTCCCGAAGGGGACAGAGCCCCACGGCCCGTCCTGGGGTGCGGGCACCCGCCACATCCCTACACACAAGTGGCGCCGTCACGGCGTCAGTATTTTACCGGGGGGGCAGCGGGAAAAGGAGGACAAACCGGCTTCGTCGAGGCGACAACGTGCTCGGTGTCACATCATGTCACGAGCACCGCAGCTCCCGGTCGGAATCCGGACCCCAAACCGGGCTCCGAGGTTGGTTTTCACCGTCTCCAGCCCGGGGCCGGGTCCGCCCGGCGCGGGGGCGGCTTTGTCTGGCGGGGGCGCCGCCCGTCGGGGCGCGCAGCCCCGCTCGCGGCGGGCCCGGGGCAGCCGCGCCGCGGCCCGGGGCCGCTCCGCGGGGCCGCTCCCGGTGCCGCCGGGCTTCCGGGTGCCGGGCTCGCCGCCGCCTCCGGCTCCTCCATGTTTGTTGTCGGCAGCGCTGTCCAGCCGCCGCCGCCGCCCGCAAGGTGCGGGGCGCGCGGGGCGGGCCCGGGCGGGGGCGCCCGCACTCAGCGCGGCGGGCGGGGGCGGCCGCCGGTCGGTGGGTGGGTGGGTGGGTGGGTGGGTGGGGGCGGCCTGACGCGGGCGCGGGGCGGCCCGGGGGCCGGCGCCGCCGTGATTTGCTGCGCGGCGCGGCGAGCGGCGGCGGCGGCGATGAGAGCGGGCAGTGCGAACTGCCGGAGCAGCCGCCGGCCGCCGTGAGTGCGGGCGGGGGGCGGCACCGGGGCCCCCCGCGTCCCCCGCCCCGGGACCGCCGTGTGCCCGCGGCTCCGCCGCTTCGCCGCGCACCTGATGGGGCCGCGCTGCCGGCGGGACGGGGCGGCCGGAGCTGGAGCCGGGCGGCGGCGGGGGATGCGCACCTTCCTCTCCCTTCCTTCCCTCGCCTTCCCCGGCCGGCGGTAGCGGGAACGCGGCTCCGGCAGCTGCGGATCCGCCGAGCAGCGCGGAAACTTTTGGGCGAGTCGCTGCTAGGCTGCGGGCTAACTTCCCTCTTCTCCCCGCTCCCTTCTCCCCGCTCCCTTCTACTCCCTGCTCCCTTCTCCTCTCCTTTCTCTCCCCGGCTTTCCTCTCTCCCCCATCTTTTTTCTCTTTCTTCCCCTTTTCTCTCTCCTTCGTCTCTTCCCTCCCCGCTCCCCCTTTCCCGCTCCCCTCTGCTCCTCTCCCCCTCCGCCTTTTGTTTTCCGCAGATAGTCGGCACACAAAGCTGGTCCCAGATTTGAGCGACGGCGAGACACCCTGATGTGTGAGCCTGGGGCGCGCCATGGATCTGACTAAGATGGGGCTGATACAGCTGCAGAACCCCTGCCACCCCACCGGGCTGCTGCACAAAGCCAACCAGATGCGCCTGGCGGGGACGCTGTGCGACGTGGTCATCATGGTGGACAGCCAGGAGTTCCACGCGCACCGGACCGTGCTGGCCTGCACCAGCAAGATGTTCGAGATCCTCTTCCACCGCAACAGCCAGCACTACACCCTGGACTTCCTCTCGCCAAAGACGTTCCAGCAGATCCTGGAGTACGCGTACACTGCCACCCTACAAGCCAAGGTTGAGGACCTGGATGACCTGCTCTATGCTGCCGAGATCCTGGAAATTGAGTACCTGGAGGAGCAGTGCCTGAAGATCCTGGAGACTATACAGGCCTCCGAGGACAATGACACCGAGGTCGCTATGGCTGATGGAGGTGCCACCGCCACCACTGAGGAGGAGGAGGAGAAGAAGTCAAGGTACATCAAGGGCCTCTTCATCTCCAAGCCCACTGGTGAGGAGGGTGGCTATGCTGGCATGGCCAGCCAGAATCTGCTGGCAGCCACAGTGGAGCAGAGCCCCTCTGCCTCCGCATCCTACTGCTCCCTCTCTTCCATGAGCCCCACCAAGGCGGCGGTGGACAGCTTGATGACCATCGGGCAGTCACTGCTGCAGGGAGCCCTGCCACCCAATGCCCCCGAGGACTCACGCTCTGCCACCACCCGCCGTCCCTCTGGCCTCGCCGAAGTCAAAACTGAAGCAATGCAGGTGGATGAGGCCTCCAGCCATGACAGCCCCCGGACAGCCGAGCCCGGTGCCTCCAGTGGGGAAAAGGCTGACGAGAAAGGCAAGGAAGGACCTGGCACCCCGACCCGCAGCAGTGTCATCACCAGTGCCCGTGAACTGCACTACACCCGTGAGGAGGGTGCCGAGCCACCCCCTGAGCCTGGCCAGGGGCTGCCACTGGGGCCGGAGCCGTCTGCCGCTGCCCCGGGAGAGAAGCCCTTGGGCATCTACTCCCTTCTGCCGAACCACAAGACTGAGCCAGTGCTCGGCGTGCCGCCCACTGCGGCGTCCGCCCTGCACGTGCAGCCGGCCCTGGCTGTCTCCATGGACTTCAGCGCCTATGGCGGGCTGCTGCCCCAGGGCTTCATCCAGCGGGAGCTGTTCAGCAAGCTGGGGGAGCTGGCAGCCGGCATGAAGACAGAGAGCAGAGCCCTGGGTGAGCAGTGCAGCGTGTGTGGGGCAGAGCTGCCAGACAACGAGACCCTCGAGCAGCACAGGTGAGTGCCGAGGCCGTGCTGTGGCATGCTGCACCGGGCAGCCAGGATCTCGCCAGAGGGTTTCGGTTTCTGGCTGAGTGTCACATGCGTTGGTGCAAAGTTTCCATCAGGTACCCCAAAACCAGCTTGTGGAGTAGCATTCTAAGAGGGATAGCTGTTGGCAGCTTCCCCGAATCTGGTTACCGTGCCAGAAGGTTCCTTCCAGTGAGTGCTGGCTGGGAACAGCCCGGATGAGCTGGGGCCGTCGGTGTTTCCTGCGAGCATAAACACCACCAGTTTCCCTGGCTGGCATCAACCAAGTAGCTCACAGTTGCTACCCTTTGAGTTGGGGGATCTGCGTGTAGAGAGAAGCAGTGGGGACAGGCAGCGCTTGCCCGCTCTGCTGAGATCTGGTCCCCCCTGTGCCAGTGCCGGGGCACGCCAGCGCGGGCAGTGGTGGCAACATGTGTTGACTTGCCAGCCTGGGGGGTTTTGTGCCGCTCAGCTCCCCGGTTTATGAAACATTTACACTTCGCAGAAAGTGGCGCGGGGGTCAGGCTGGGTAACGCCGGGGCGAGCGCAGAGGGCTCGGGCTGCCGCAGAGCCGCGGGTCTGTCCCTGCGGGAAAGGTGAAGGGCTGAACCTCCAACAGCTGCAGGTGCGGCTTCGGGGCTGCCCTGCTCGGGGTGGGGGTCTGGCTCACTCCCAGCCCGGCGCCCTGGGGGCTTGCTGCGGGCTGGAGCGTGGTGGCGAGCTCACACGTGAGCTCAGTGCTCCGCTGCTTATTGCCTCCTGGTCGTGGTTCAGGGACCAGGGCTTGTTGCCTCATTTGGCTGGGGAAGGGAGCCGCGTTAATTACCACACCAAAATCGGTGTCGCCACTCCAATCCTGTGGCTCTGAACGTGCTTCGGTGAGCGCTGCCCTGGCCCCCGCTGTGGCTGCAGCCCCGCCGCAGGACAGCGGCGTCCCGCCTAGGCAAGACATCCCCGGCATGGTGCCGTAGCTTCTCCCTGCCTCCCCTGGCTGCACGCCCTGTCAGGTTCTTCATGAATCAACAGGTTAATTAGTCGTGGTGCACATAAGGCTCCAGGGCCGGTCCGAGCCGGCACGTGCCCGCGGCGGGGCGGCCGGTGCCGCCGGGGCAGCGGCTCCCGGCTCAGCCCGGGAGCGCGGCGGGCGGCCCGAGCCGCCGAGCCGCCGAGCCGGGATCCTCAGCGCTGCGAGGGCTGGCAGCATCGCCCCGCCGCAGGGACCCCGCGGGGAGCAGCCCGCACCCGCGAGGCTCCCCGGCTCCGTGCGGGGGCACAGCCGCTCTGGGCTTTGTTCCTTCCCCCTCTCGCAAGCGGGGCTGGCGTTGGTTACGTCCGCGAAGCCGCCGCGGCCGTGCGGTGATGCAGACCGAACGTCACCGGGAGAGCTGCAGTGAGGGCTCAGGGAGAATTTTAACGTGCCTTTCTGCCACGGTCTCAAGGCTCTCCCTTTCCCCCTGCAAGCCCAGAGCAGCAATTGCTGTGGCCGCGGTGGGGGCGATGCTCCTGTGGCCAGCCGTGAATGTGTCCGGAGGGAGGGAGAGCTGCGCGGTCAGATCCTTCCTGCGGGCTCGGGAGACGGAGCGTGGCCCGGCTGTCCAGCACGGCAGCCCCTATTCCACAGCGCCTTCCCGGGCTCAGTGTGCTCGGACAGCCGCGGCTGCAGCCGTAGTTTATTTCTCACTTGTTCATGATCTTACCGTGAAGCTGGGCACACGCGGGGCCGGGGTCTGCCCGGAGCATGGAGCTCAGCGCTGGCCCCTGCCACTGGAGCCTTAAAGGCAGTGCTGAAGCCAGCACCAAACTCTGTTTGCCTGTTTTTGCTTTCTGACCGGTTACCTGGAACGGGCAAACTTTGCAGGGTTAGCCAAATCCTTTGAGCCATGTTTAAACTGATCTGTAAGACTGTCCGTGTTGAAAGGCATTGGGTAACAGTCCAATGAACTCACTCCCCGGCCCCTAAAGTCTAAATCCCAGGCGGTTTGTGTGTAGACAGGGTCTCATGTGGCTTTTTTATAGTGTTTGCTTTCTAATACGTTGTGAGAATTACCATTTGGGGAGGATTTGTGGGATCCTATTGTATTCATGGAGCTGTTAAACAGCATCTGCGCTGGGCTGGGATCTGCAGCTCTCTGCCGGAGCAGCTCTGGTGGCAGCTGCACCGTGCTGGCTGCGGGCTCCTCTTCTCTCCACTGCCTGGTGCTGAGGGAGCCCGGGGATCTGCGCCCTCGCTGGGGTCTGGGCACCACCTCCCCAACCGGCTGGAGGGGGGCAGGATGTGCCGGGGGCACCACGGTGTCTCTCACTGACTTTCGCTGACCTCCTTCTGCCGTTGCACTCGCTGCTGTGGTTTTGCTTTCCGACCCCGATGCGAGGCGGAGGTGCCCGATCAGCCGCTCCCAGCTGCGGTGAGCTGGGGGCCAGGGGGCAGGGGCGGGGGTACCTCCCTGTTCCGTGGGGTGCTTGGCTGTGGCCTGACAGCTTCCACGTGCCAAGCCCCAGCAGGTGACAGACCCGAAGCCACCCAGCACCAATGCCCTCGTTCCGCAGGGAGCTCGGCGAGCCGCTGCGTGCCGAGCCTGTTTGCAGAGCACAGGCAGCCCATGCATATGGCAGGGCTGTTTGTTTACACACACACATGCCTATAGAAGTGTAAACATACATGTTTATAGTCTTGGAGCCTTCTGAGTGTTGTTCCTGTCTTCATTAGTATGGGAAGCACGTGCAGGAAAGAGGAGAACAGAGGGTTGGCCTGGCCTCGGCAAGCACAGGGGGCCGCTGGCTCTGGGTGACAGACAGTGCCCGAGGGACAGTCATCTGCCCTGGCCCAGGGTGGTAACACGGCTCCTCGGCCTCGTGGCAGCACTGTCTGTGCTGTGTCATACCCAGGAGCACTGAGCTGTGACCTTTGGGGGGCCAAGTGGACACCAGCCTGGGCACTGCCTCTGATCAGGGTTTTCAGGTCCCTGAACCCACTGGCTGCTGCATGAGCCATTTTCCTTCTCCCTTACCAAGCTTATGATTTTGACTAATTGAGTGTAGATTGAGTCGTCGAGTCTTTAATTTTTTTTATAAAAGATTTCCTTCTGGGTTCAGCAAAGTTCAGACTTAATCTAATGTTAGTATTGATCGTCACTTCTAATTGCAGACAAAAAAGCCATAGTTCAGTGGCCCTTTTGGGGGCTGTTTTGTGAAGGAATACCTCCAAGCTGTAAGGTGAGACCTGTGCCGAGCTGCCAACTGAGCCTGGCATAATTTGTCATCGGGAAGTTAAATACCTTAAAACTTAAAAAAAAATGAAACCATGTCTTTTATAAAGTGATAGTGACTGGGAAGGCTGCCATGGGGATGTGATCCCATACGCTTCATTTATGGCACAGTCGAGGACCCCAAGCCAATGCTGCCCGGGAATTCACCCGCCACGCGACGCGGCTGCTGGCAGCACGGGTGTCAGTGTGAGATGGAGATGCTGGTCTGGAGAGCAAAAGTGCTTTCATGGTGATGGTGTCATGCTGCAGGCCAATGGTGGGTGAATGCTCCTCGTGGAGCGCTTTTGGTGGAAGGTGTCATATGAGGGGATGTACCTTGGGGAAAGCTTCCATTCCAGCTGTCAGGTCTGCTCTGCATTTTGAGGTTCCGTGGCTGAGCTGTCAGCTAAAGATGTGTGTGTGCCAATGGAGGGTTGAAGGACAAGGGTAAGGAGGCTCGCTGTATCCCAGTGGCTGCTGGCCAGCCACTGTGCCCCAAAATCCAGATTTGTGCCCTCTTTTCCCACTGAAGGACAGAAAAGCAGTGGATCTGCCTGTCTGCTACCAGCAGCACCAGTGTTCAGGGCCAGGCATTGACGCTCCCACGGTCTGAAATGCTCCTGCTTGGGAAAACTGCAGCTTCCCATGGGAATCCAGCCTTTGGCTCTTCTCTGGCAGCCTCACCTGCCCTCTCCCCACCTGGATTAGCTGAGCGTTGTACTGCTAATGCCATTAGGCACGTTGGCACTGCTCGGTATGTCACAGTGAGAAACAGATGCAGTGCACCATTAAAGCAATAAACGTGATAAATCGGATCCCAAGTGCTTTGTGAGATGTTATTAGTGTTAATTTCAGTAGCTGAATACAGTAGTTGTTTCTTATTTTATTTTAAGCATTTGTCAATTTATGTTCCACTGCAATTTAAACTTTTAAAAAAAGGAGGAAAAATGGAAAGCAAGCGGGGGAGGGAAGGAAAAGCCAGGGCAGCAGCCCCCCAAACTCTGCCCATGATTACTTCCAGAGTTCGAGGATGACCTGGCAGCTCTTGTTTCTTGTTGATGGGCCTTATTAGCGGCACCTGGCATCATAAGGGGCTAATGGAAACCAGCGTTCCCGCTGCCGGGCCGCGGAGCAGGGCAGCCGGGCGAGGAAGCTCTTATTAGCTTTATGGGCAGGGGGACGTGCCCCGCTCAGGAAATGAATGTTGCAGCTAAGGTCCACAGCGCTGACCCCGAGCGTGTAACCTGTGAGCACTGGCCGAGACCCCGCGCAGGATGCTTGGGATTTCGGGGGCTCTCTGGTTCTTGTCATGGGCAGAGGGGGAATACAACGTGGTATGTTGCAGCCTTGAACTTTTGATTTATTCAGTGGGTAACTTAACCATTTCCATACTCAGCTCCAAGTGTGGAGGGAGAAAAGCCCCCTTTGGCTTCCACATTACTCCATCCATTATTCTGCATCAGTTCAGTTATGCATGCACTGCGATCGAAAGCGAAGCTCTGAGGTTCCCATCAGAAAACACCTATTTCTGTGTATTTGTTTGTTTGTTTGTTTGTTTGTTTCCCCCTGCCCAGTAAAACCCTGGTTTCTCCTGCCCATGATGCCTCTGCTTCTGACACCTTGCAGAGGGACATCCATTGGCATGATGGGGTCACTGCCTGCTCTCTGCCTGGTGTGCAGCCCCTTCCCCAGCACCGCTCAGTTCCCAGGGACCAGGACCCCTTTGGCTGCAGGGCTGGGGCC